AGGGAAAGGAACTATAATTTTCTTCTGGACCAGCAAAAGCTAAACTTTTTTTTGAGCTATATTCTTCCCTCTTCTTTGCCCAAAATAGTCAATGATATGCCTGGGAACTCAAGGTTGGGCATGGGTTGGATATGGACTTCTCTGGCACCTAATTCTATTACTTCTTAGTATGATTATCGAGAGAGGCATGGGCCAGCTCCATCCTCAGTGAATGGCACAGTCACAGCCCCATTTTTTTTTTCGCCTCAAGTAATTAGGAAAGCAATCTTGTTAGTCTGGTTTTGAGGAAGAAAAAAAAAACAGAAAACATGCTGCTGAGGTTCCTCATTACAACCATAAGCACGCACATTATGCATCCATGCCCATGTCCCATTCATTCCTGCACAGCAAGCTACAACTGCGTCAAAAGTCCTGCATGCTTCCCGGAGAACGACAGGAGCGCTTCAGGACCCAGAGAACTCATGAAAATGGAGCAGACGGGCAGAACAGAGGGACACTGTCATGCATACGTTCACTGAACTACACTAGATCCCATTTTGCTTTCTCTAGTTTCAGTGCTGTTCTTTTCTCAGAAGAGATCCTCAGGACTTTAAAAACACAGTAAAATTTATTCAATGAGCTTCAAAACCCAATCTCAAGGAAAAGTCCAGTCTCCAGGGAAATGTAGGATTACTTAGCAGCTATAGGAACAGCATTTGACTTAGCATGCATTGTAGTGAAAACAAGCGCACATTGAATGCTTTATGATTACTGAAATTGGGGTGATGACTTTTTACTGCAGTATAACGCCGCTTTTGAAGCCCACGTTGTCATGATCTGCCGATAAATAAATAAATAATATTCTCAATTCTTACATGTTTCCAGAAATGCTATAAGACTGATTCCTACACTTGTCTTGGAATATACTGATTCTCTAGCTGTTACCAAACAGCAGCATTCTCCTGAATTTATGGGGCTATTATTTAAAACCAAATTTGGCTTGGTCCTAGCTATCTTAGTGAAGAAAAAAGAAAAAATACAATTCCTACTCATAAAGCAAGTGGTTCTGGAAGTCATGATGAGTTTTCATTGTGTATTTGTTTGTAACAGTGCTGGGCTAGCCATGGCTTACCATGCCACTTTTTATTTTTTTTAATTAATTAAAACATTCAGAGTAGGTGCAACAGTACTAAAAAGTGCTGTAAAACTTCCACCAGCATGAAGGGAAGAAGGAACGTCACCTTAGAAATCAAACCCCGCAGTCTGTATACAGACATTGACAGCGGTAGTGGATTTGCCTTCATAAGAGCTGTTAAATTCTGCTATTAAATGAGAAATGTTTGACATTTAAAAGTTACTTGAAAAGATAAAGCAATATGATCAATTAAATTCCCAACAACTCAGAGCCTATCTATGTCCCTTATCTGCTCAGATTGGAATTTCTTCCAACTCTTTTCTCTTTAAGATCAAATTATGATCTTGTTTGTATCATCTTCTTTCCCTGTGACTTCAGCAGTCAGTTACGAGACATTTTAGGCATTAACACTAGAGAGCGGAGTTACCTCAACATACACTGACTCCACTATTTTTACTGCTTTCAACAACAAGCAAACAATGCACTCATTATTTTATAAACAAAAAAATAAAATGAATAATAAACTCTATTTAGAAAAATAATTGCTTTATTGTTTTTACTCATCAGTGAAACTGATCAGTTGCCCAAGTCCCAAATACCTTTCATAAAATAATTTACACACTGCAAAATATCTTACTTAGCAATGTGGTACATTTCGTTTTATGGCCATCTTAGTAATTCCTTCTTAACAAGGGATTGTGCCTCTGACCAATTTAAAGTGCTACGCCATAATCTTCCTAAGTGCTGTTACTGGACCCCAACACCTGCCTGCTCCGGGTGCCTGTCTCAAGTTGGAATGGGGATGAAGCTGGTAGATTTTGAGTGGGGCGATTCTCTCCAGGTGTTCAAGCTATGGGTTGGGCTTCTGTTGTTGGTAAAAGAAGTCTGTCGTCTACTGTTGCTGTTAGAATCTTCTTTATTCAGCGTTTGCTTTATTTTTTGACAGCAAGGGAAGCTCTGTATGCAGTCTTGCAGGAGATGCCCACTAAAGAACATGTAGATCCATGGGTTACAACAACTATTCAGACTGGCCAATAGAGCAGTGACTGTAGTTGCGGTATTTTCAGAATCTGGAGAGGGGGAAAAAAAAGCAGTTTAACCATCAAAAGAACATTCTCAATATTCAGGCAGGCAATTGCTTCATTAACCATTTCTTTTTTTTTTCAGTTACTGAATATTTCTATTTTTTAAATTATTGATTTGGGCAATGACATCTAAAACAAAGAGTACGGACATAATCAGAGAAGTCCTCATTTGCGTAAAGCTGCCACTGAAATTAGTAGGAATTTGTCTGAACAGACTTTAAAAACCTGTGGCAGAGGAAGTTATGGACAATCCAGTACAGCATGAAGGCACTTTTTAAAGTGAATAATCCCATTTCCACTGATGTTTATCCATGCATTGATAAGTCCATGCTTTAAATACTGAACCGGTATTATTCCGACTTTTACTTTAAAAATTGTTTTCCCTGGGAGGCAATGGCAAAATGCCCACTGATTTCAGTAAGAACAGAATCTTGCTGTATGCATTTTTGTGTTGAAAAAGGCTGTAGAATGCTCAAACTGCTATTTTCTGAATCAAATCCATATTGCGGAGATTGAACAAATTTTACTTAAAGAAGAAGTTAGCACTACGTCATAGAACAGTTGTGGTCTTCTACACTCACTAGTTAGCTAAATTATGAAATACTCTACGTATTTATTTAGTCTAATCAATTATAAGTGACCTGTCATAAATACTGATGTTCCACAGAGGTATAACTGCTGTGTTTTGGAGTTCTGTATGATTTAAAGAATATCTTCAAATAAACTTACCAAATGTCCACATTTCCAAATAGGTTTTTACTTCTTTTTAACACTTTTGAAGTAGAAGATATTTTATTTATCTACTGCAAGCCTTTATTTCTCTGTATACGCCTGCATTCTGGGCTTTAGTCCCGTATTACGGGCAATTGATGTTCTCACTACAGTAAATGATAATCTGGGGATATTAAAAAAATAACAATAATTTGTGACTTCCAGCATTTTGATTTGCATCTTTTTCATTACGAGGAAACAAACTGTATGTTAGGATGTTGCCTGCCACTCTCCATGCAGCTAACTTTTAAACTCATTAATTATGTGCAGCCAAATTTAACAGCAGGACGGCTATCTGAAAGCTACCACATTCCCCGTGTTTCGCGAGAAGGGCTGGCTGACGAAAGGAGAGATACTGAGAGGCGATTGCCCTACGGAGAGGAAGGGTTCAGGGTGCACGCTCAGCCACGTTACTACGAACCCACACGCAAGACATTTACAGGATGGCAAGCTTAGTAAATTCCATAATTACTTGTGACACATATGTGTACAAGCCTAATAATAACAGAAAACGTCTCAAGGATTTTATTTGCTGTCAGAAAATGTTAAAATGAACTAATTCCCAAATCCGTGTGGTAATTGGGAAAAAACAAAAACTACAACATGCATGTCAGCAGCTTCAAGTGGCAGGAAATACTGCTCATCCAAACTAAGGCAGCCAACAGCTCAGCCAAAATGAGGGGGTTTTGCCGCGGGTCGGAGCTCCCCCCTCCAGAGCAGCCGTGCCCGGGCAGCGGCACGGCCGCCAGCTGCCCCTGAAGCTCCCCACCACCACGCCGGGCTGCCCATGTCCCTCCCAGGACGTTTCCTCGGCTGGA